ACACACACACACACACACACACATAGCGAATATGACAACGCACACACGCACACAATCATATCATAATATGTATAACTTCCTCTTTCTCTTCTCATTCTGTAAACTTCCGTCAGTATGTGGTCTTTGTTTCTCCTGTGTCCAAGTGAGTACCTTTCAGTTGTGCCAAATAGGCAGCACACACAAGGAGTCCCGCAACCCTATTGTGGGGATGCTGTGTTCAGGATGCCTGTGTGCCAGTCTTTTACCTGGGTGATGATCACTACATATATAACTATCCCTAATTTCCTGCCTGTGACAAGCGGACGATCGGGGCCCTCCGATTTTTTGCTGCACGACGGTCCCGATCTTCTGCTGATCGTTTTTCTTAGAAGTTGAAGCATCGCCAGGGCCAGTACCGGTTCCGCATGCCAGTGCCGGCACCATGCTTGGTACCGGGCCCGCGCACCGGAGCCGGTACCACCACACAAGGTACTGGCCCCCGCTCTAGCACCGGTACTGTCGGATGTTGCCGGGCCAGCGTCAGGCGGCCACACGTAACAAACTTTTTCCGATTTCAGGAGGCGGTGCAGGAAAAACCGCGTGGCCCCACACCACACCTGCCCTCCAATCGACTTTCGACTTTTCATACCCTAGGCTGCAGCGCTCGACGCCGACTGACTTCTACGCTGCTATGGTCGACTACGACTTCACTCTACGTTGGACACACACGCACACGAACACGCGCGGGCACGCACGCACACACGCACACGCGCACACACGCGCACACGCACGCATGGACGCACGCACGCGCACGCACACACACACACGCGAACATGGTGAGTCCTTGGCCATCAGTACAGTTCGTCTTGGGCGGACTGTCAGGGTTCAACCTCCTGATGAGTCGGTGGAAGTCCGACGAAACAGTCTCGCTGCGTCATTTTGTGAGTTCTGTATAGCGAACATAACAACAGTCTCACATACTCAGACTCACCCACACAGAACACACGCACACAAGCACACACACATACACACACACACACACACACACACACACACACACACACACACACACACACACACACACACACACACACCGACCCACCCAGGACACACTGTCTCTGCATCCTGAATGTTGGACGCTGAGGCTTGAGCTGTGCAGCGTCAAGGCTTTCGAACGACCGCACCTTGATGACTGATGGTGAGTTTGTTATTCATGTCTGTTGCTTTCATTTTTTGTGGTCTTGGAACTATTGCAAGGAACCTGAATGTGGACGAAGCACAGAAATCCAGATTGCAAAATCACACTGAAGTCCAAGTAGTCAAAGCAAGAGCAGATAGCATAATGGAACCGAGTAACCATCCATTTGAGAACGATACAGAAGAATCGTGAGTCAATGTCCAAGCCCAATCGGGCAACACCAACAGCATAACCCAATGTAGCTCTCTCTCTTGAATGGCGCCAGGCACCCTACCTACTCTACAGCCTATCAGTACAACTAAAGCATGAAAGCAACCAGACAACTTGACGACCAGCGAGTGATGATGTCAACACCAATGCCGACTTCCCCTCCCTCCAGGTACGTCTCTCTCTTCTCCCTCACCCTTCCTTGTTATCCCACACAGCGCCCTTCACCTCCGAAGAACCACCTTCGCCCTTCACCTCCTCTGCGCCCCCAGGCAGCCCGGCTATGGCCGCCAGCGCCCTCCACCCAGGCAGCGCTCTACCGCTTAGCGCTTGCCTGCCTCTACCTCAGCCTAGCACAGCCCAGCACAGCGCAGCACCTCGCATTTGCGCAGCGTGCCGGCATTGCCCGCAATGGCCAAGATCCTTGCCCACTCGCCCTCCCTGCCTATATGCCAGTGTTGCGTGTGGGCGGCCTCCCTTGAGCCTGCGCCTGGGCCCCAGTACCTGCACCCAGGCCCAATGCGGTTGGGGCCCACGCAGTACAGTTGTGCCTCTTTCATCCAGGCCTGCGTCCAGATTCAGATAGTGGASCGGTATCMCATTGGCACTTTYGGCCTCTATTTCCAGTATGCAATGTCGGCCTCRCGTTTATGTGCCCAGGGCCGAACCAACTCTGGGGCCCTGGGATTTCTGCATTTGCAGAGCTCCGATACKCGGTGCCTCCAWCCAACTGGCGTGCTGCAACTGTATGGACCCCACTTCGTGAAATGTTTGCACAGAGGGCTCTTGTTGATTTGCTGGCCCGCCTTCACTTAGGGCGGGCACGAGGCTTGCTGGGGCCTTAGCCCAGAGCATGTACATCATGGCAAGGCCCCTTCTTGAGGGCTCAATCCTCACATTCCATGCCCCTTAGCTTCGAAAGTCCGTTGAGATGCTTACTTCACAGGTGCCATCCCTTTCAACATTCTCTCATAATCTGCCACCACTTGAGGAGCTGTGTCAATCAGTTCCTCTCTGGTGAACCACCGATCTTCCTTCGGATCCGTATGATGCCTGAATCGAACACGATACTCCCGCTTGGGTTTTGGAGGTCTTCCTCTACCCAGTGGCTTTGGAACAGGCAGATCTCTGTGATCCACAATGTCGTCAATGTCCACTTGACCATCCATGGTTGGGGGCAGCATCGATCTCCTTGAAGGGAATTGATCTGTCTCAGTGAAAGGTGCAAGCTTTGAGGCATGAAAGACAGGGTGAGTGCGCAGATGACCAGGGATACAGATAACATAGGTAGGACCATCCATCTCATCCCCAACTATATCGAGGACTTCCCATGGACCAAAATACTAAGGCATTAGTTTGCAAGAGATTTCGAATTCCTGTCCTAGCTCACTAGCCTTGACCCAGACACGTTCCCCTATCTGAAATGAGGACTATCGACGATGTTTGTTCTCAGAAACAATCATTGCTTGCTGAGCTTTCTTGGTGTGCTCGAGAGCTTGCGGCAGCAACTTCTCATACTGCACACCGTACTCAAGTGTGCCTGGAGTTGCAGAGGGTCGGTTTTCAAGTAGGAGGAAGTCCAGAGCTGATCTAGGCTTCCATCCCAAGTGCAGCTGGTTAGGACTAATGTCGGTACTGCTGTGTACAGCGTTGTTGTACAGGCTGGCGATGAGAGGCAACTTCTCATCCCAGTCATCCTGGCTGGGCTTGATGTAATGCCTCAGCGAGTGTTGTACAACTCGGTTCATCTGTTCGGCTTGTCCATTAGCTTCGGGATGATTCCCTGAAGTCATTTGAAGTTGACGGCCCATCTGCTCAGCAGTTTTCTTCCACAACTCACTTGTGAATCAGACATCTCTGTCGCTAACAATTGACTTTGGTAGTCCAAAATCACGTTCCCAGTTGTCCATAAACAACTTGATGACGTGGTCATTCCTTGCGGTCTCTGGAATGGCAATTAGTCTAGCGTATTTGGTGAATCGATCAATGATGACAAAGATATGCCTCTTGCCACTCTTACTAGTCACCAGGGTGTCCATGAAGTCCATGGAAACACTCTGTCATGGACCAGCAGGGATAGGCAAGGGCTTTAGCAACCCAAGCGGTGCTTGAGTTCGCGGCTTGTCCCGCTGACAGACCTGATAGGCCTGGTGTCCCGCTACATACTTCTTTGTGTCATCTAGCATTCCAGGCTACCAAAATTGTTGTACTAGATTGGCACTTGTCTTTTTGTAGCCCAAGTGTCCAGTTGCGTCATGACATTCCCCTAGAAATAAACTACGCAAACTCTCACTTGATGGAACTACTAACCTTTTACACCTGGCCTTATCAAGAAAGAGTAACCCATCCACCATCACAAACTCATTCTCTGTGGCCTTGTCTTTTGCGTGAAGTTTGCGGATGATGTCCATAATGACAAGATCTTTCTGATAGGCTCCCACCAATGATTGAGTTACTTCCTGAGATAC